CCTCCCAGCCCTTTTAAGGGTTTCAGAAGCCGGGAGGCGAAGCGGGGGTTAGAGGTCATGTGACCGCTGTGATTCGCCATCATGGTGGTCACATGATCGGGAAGGTCCCAATCGAAAGAGGAGATCGGGGGACCTTTCCCGTGAGTAACCAGGAGCCATGCGTGCTGGGAGTGCGCAGGAACGCGCACTCTCAGCATGTTTTTCTTAATTGCACGGCTAAAATATGTGGCCGCCTCGAACATCCTAGCCCAGACACCGGGAGGACGTTGACACATTTGTGTGTGGCCGGCGTGAAGAGGTTAAAATACTACTACTAATAAAACGAATATATATATTTTATTTATATCTATATACAAATGTTTTGCCTTTAATTTCTACTTTAACCACTTTTCATCTGGCCCATGTATATAAACGGCCAGACGGGAGCAGTGAATTGTAGGAGGGGAGGGTGGTTGTTTATAAACGTCCCTCCCCCTTCGCTGCTTCTGTTGCGCTCCCTGGGACGCGCGCAGCACTGCGATCCAGTGCCTGCTGTGTCCTCCCAGACACTGCATGTTCATAAGGGAAATACAGTATTTGATCCCCTTCACAAAAACTTGAGCTTAGTACTTGGTGGCCAATCCCTTGTTGGCAATCACAGAGGTCATGACGTTCCTGAGTTGGCCCCCAAGGTTCGCACACATCTCAGGAGGGATTTTGGCCGCCACTCCTCTTGGCAGATCTCTCCAAGTCATTAAAGGTTTGGTGGCTGAGGCGTTTTGGCAACTCGAACTTTCAGCTCCCTCCACAGAATTTCAATCGGGGATGAAGGGTCTGGAGACTGGCTAGGTCACTCCAGGACCTTAATGGTGCATCTTCTTGAGCCACTCCTTTGTTGTCCTTGGCCGTGTGTTTTGGGTCATTGTCATGGCTGGAACACCCATCCACACACCCATTTCAATGCCCTGGCTGAGGGAAGAAGGTTCTCACCCAAGATTTGATGGTACATTGCCTCGTCCATCGTCCCTTTGATGCAGTGCAGTTGTCTTGTCCCTTAGCAGAAAAAACACCCCCAAAGCAGAATGTTTCCACCACCAACGTTTCACAGTTGGGATGGTGTTCTTGGGGTCATAGGCAGCATATCCTCCTCCTCCTCCAAAACACGCGAGTTGAGTTGATACCAAAGAGCTGGATTTTGGTCTCATCTGCAAAACAACAACACTTTCCACTAGTCCTCCTCTGCATCATTCAGATTTCAGTGGCAGACTTCAGACAGGCCCTGGACATGTGCTTTCTTGAGCAGGAGGGACCGTGCGGGCACTGCAGGATTTCAGTCCCTGTCGGCGTAGTGTGTTACCAATTGTTTTTCTTGGTGACTGTGGTCCCAGCTGCCTGGAGATCATTGACAAGATCCTCAACGTGTAGTTCTGGGATGATTCCTCACTGTTTCTCATGATCATTGACACTCCACGAGGTGAGATCTTGCATGGTGCACCCAGACCTAGGGAACTGACACTTGTTTTGTGTTTCTTTTCCATTTGTGAATGATTGCACCAACTGTTTGGTCACCTTTACTCCAACCAAGCTGCTTGGCCATAGTTTGGTAGCCCAGTCCAGCACTTTGTGTAGTCTACAATCTTGTCCCTGACATCCTTGGACAGCTCTTTGGTCTTTGCCATGGGTGGAGAAAAGGGATTACAAAAGTATCTCCAAAAGCCTTGATGTTCATGTGTCCACAGCATTCTCTCTTCTCCAAACATGACGAGTTGGTGTTTATTCTACCAAACAGTTGTATTTTGGTTTCATCTGACCAGATGACATTCTCCCAATCTTCTTCTGGGATCATCCAAATGCTCTCTAGCAAACTTCAGACTGGCGGCCCAGACATGTACTGGCTTATAAGCAGGGGACACGTCTGGCACTGCAGGATCTGAGTCCCTGGCGGTGTAGTGTGTTACTAGATGGTAGCGCTTTTGTTACTTGGTCCCCAGCTCTCTGCAGGTCAGTCACTAGTCCCCCAGTGTGGTCCTGGGACTTTTTGCTCATATCCATAATTTTTGTGATCATTTTGACCATTGACCCCACGGGGGTGAGATCTTGCGTGAGCCCCAGATTGAGGGAGATTATCAGTGGGAACTCTTGTATGTCTTATTATCCATTTTCTAATTATCTTGCTCCCACAGTTGATTTTGTTGTAAAAAAAAAACACACCACACTGCTTGCCTATTGCAGATTCAGTCTTCCCAGCCTGGGTGCAAGGTCTACATTTTTGTTTCTCTCGGTGTCCTTCGACAGCTCTTTCGGTCTTCACCATAGTGGAGTTTGGAGTGTGACTGTTTGAGGTTGTGGACAGGTGTCTTTTATACTGATAACAAGTTCAAACAGGTGCCATTGATACAGGTAATGAGTGCAGGACAGAGGAGCCTCTTAAGAAGGTGGTACAGGTCTGTGAGAGCCAGAAATCTTGCTTGTTTGTAGGTGACCAAATACTTATTTCCACCATAATTTGCTAATAAATTCTTTCCAGATCAGCCAATGTGATTGTCTGGATTTGTTTTCTCATCATTTTGTCTCTCATAGTTGAGGTCTACCTATGATGCCAATTACAGGCCTCTCTCATCTTTGTAAGTGGGAGAACTTGCACAATTGGTGGCTGACTTTTTTGCCCCACTGTACCTCTCTGTATCACCTGAGGACGTCACTTCACTGGGTATATGTAATGGTTCATATCCACTATAAGAGAGTCCCTTTCTCCCAGCTCTCACGGATTGGATTGCAGGCCGGCCCTCCTATTCTCAGCCTAGTTTCAAGTGAGCAGGAAATCGTTAGAAAAAAAAAAAAAAAAATTCTGAGCACATTGTAAAAATAGTTTATAATAAAATTTAATGACTTGCACATGAATATATAACTGGATTGAATTTTCTTTTGTTTTTTTTTTTTCTTTTATAGTTCTGCTTTAACCTGTGGAAGAATTTAACGTTGCAAATCTCTGCCTGCGTTTATTAATTACACTTTACAAAAATGGTTGAAATAAATTATTAAAAATAAATCTTACAAAATAATACAACTCCATGTTCTCCACGCTGTGATCAGACAATATTTGGGGCACTAAGGCACGTCATACCGTAAACTCATCAAAGAAACACCACCACCGCAAGATATTAAAAACACTGAGGGGGCACAGCAGCATCACCCCCGGAGAGAATACAACTATAATGCTGAATTTAAAGTGCACCTGTTATTTAGTAACAGACATTCTATTGCAGAGGAGGGGGAAGAACACACTTATTTCACGTGTGTAACATGTAATGTACTTGAAGTGTGAAAAGCTGCAATCCAGGCTAAGAAAATACTTGAATCTTGGTGTGTTTTGAGTATTTTTTTCCAGATCTGTGCAGTAATCCCGTGTGAGACTTCCTGTAATAAAGACCGGGCACTGCAGCTCTCTCTCCTGCAGGGTGAATGGTCTGGTCTCCACCTTCTCCTGCAGGAAGCCTGCATTCGGGGGACCTTGTTATCTACTTTTTTGATAACCCCATGCTTTATACGTTTTACCACCCCCCCCCCCCCCCCGCCTCAAAATATTGAGGATTGCATTATGTTTGTGTGCACTAAAATGTACTTTGGAGGAAAAGAAATGTAATCTCCAAACACGGAAAGGTTTCTTCACAGTAAGAGCTGTGAAAATGTGGAATAGACTCCCTCAAGAGTTGGTTGTGGCCATGTCAGTGGATTGCTGTAGGAAAGTCCTGGATTCTTTCTTGGATACACAGAATATAACTGGATATAACATTTATAGGGAAAGTTGATTGATTGCCTCTCGGGGGATCAGGAAGGAATATTTTCCCAGCAGGAGCAAATTGGATCGTGCTTTGCTGATTTTTTTTTTGCCTTCCTCTGGATCAACTGTGGGTGTAGGATTATAACTTTTTTTTTTTTTACTATGTTTGAACTGGATGGACTTTTGTCTTTTTACAGCCAGACTAACTATGTAACTATGTATTTGTAAAGCATAGATATGTAGGGCTGGGGTTTGCAAAACACTGATATACACAGAAAAAATATTAGTTAAGTATATGATCACCCAGTGGGATTATGTAAACCCAACATTTCATACTCCTGATATGTGCCTGCTGTACCCATGTACTTTTTTGTGAAAACCCTGGTGGTCCTGCCAGTCCCTCTGCTTTCCTATTAAAAACTGACCACACTAGATAGGAGAGCACAGCATGGTCAGCTCTCTGGCTGTGCTGGGAGGTATTCCAATAATCAGACTTGTATCGGCATGCCCCCTGCCCCATGCACAGCCATTCAGAAGGAATGTGATCACTTATTAAAAGGGGGGGGGGGGGAGGGAAAAAAAAAGAAGGTATTTAACCCCTTGGCACCGTCACCTCCCGGCCCTATAAGGGTTTCAAAAGCCGGGAGGCAGGGCGGTGTGATTCGCCGTCACGGCGGTCACATGATCGGGAAAGGTCCCAATCGAAAGAGGAGATAGGGACCTTTCCATGAGTACCAGACATGTGTGCTGGGAGCATGCAGGGCGCACACTCTCAGCACGTTTTTCTTAATTACACGAAATGTGCGGCTGCTCGGCGTCTAGGCCCAGACACCGGGAGGACGCACATTTGTGTGCGGCCGGCGTGAAGAGGTTCAAACACTACTACTAATAAAACTAATATATATATTTTTTTATATCTATATACAAATGTTTTGCCTTTAATTCCTACTTTAACCACTTCCCGTCCGGCTCATGTATATAAACGGCCAGACGGGAGCAGTGCAGGGGAGGGTGGCTGTTTATAAACGTCCTCACCGCTTCCCTGCTAATGCATGCAGCACCACGATCCAGTGCCTCTGTGTGAGGTCCCGATCATGTGATCACTGATTGGCCAATCAGTGATCACATGAATAGTAGTAAACAAGATGTCACTTCTGACATCATTGCTTACTACGTGTGAAATCTGTGAATGATCACAGAGCTCACATGGTACAGGGCTATTCACAACAGCCTTGTACCCAGGGGCGGACTGACCATTTGGAAACTTGGGCACTGCCCGAGGGCCCGGGGTCAGTGGGGGGCCCCATGAGATGCCCCTGGTACCTTTTTCATAGGCTTTTTTGAGTTTGGGCAAGGCCACAGGGGCCCCATGATCCCCTATTGCCCGGGGGCCCCATGAGTTGTCAGTCCGCCCCTGCTTGTACCATGTGACAAGCTGTGACCAATCACAGCTCACAGTATTTCTCAATGGCTGCAACAATGCAGCCGGAGAGAAGGAGAAATGATTGCTTTTACAGCCTTTATGGGTGTAAAAGCAACCAGTGTTGAAAACAAAAAAATCTACATCACCCCCCACAAGTAGTACAATGACACCGTACTGCTAGGGTGACAGTATGTAAAAAAAAAAAAACAAAAAAAAAACAACCAAATAATATTAAAAAAATTTAATAAAAATGTAAAAAAAAAAAAGTTGAAAAAGTATAATTTCTGGTTAAACTAATATGGATTTCTTTTTTTTTTTTTACTAAAAAGATAACAATACATTTTGGCCAAGATTTATGAAGAAAGATTATTTATTTGCGAAATGTTATAAGAAAAACACTTTTCAAAATTTTTGGACTTTTTCATTTATATAGCAAAAAAATAAAAATCCTGGTGGTGAAAAAATACCCCCAAAAGAAAGTTTTATCTGTCTCAAAAAAATTCATATGGGTACAGTGTTGCATGACCGCGCAATTGTCATTCAAAGTGTGATAGTGCTGAAAGCTGCAAATTGGCCTGGGAAGGAAGGGGGTGAAAGTGTCCGGACTGGAAGGGGGGGAAAGTGTCCGGACTGGAAGGGGGGGGAAAGTGTCCGGACTGGAAGGGGGGGAAAGTCCCCGGACTGGAAGGGGGGGGAAAGTGTCCGGACTGGAAGGGGGGGAAAGTCCCCGGACTGGAAGGGGGGGAAAGTCCCCGGACTGGAAGGGGGGGAAAGTCCAGACTGGAAGGGGGGGAAAGTCCAGACTGGAAGGGGGGGGGGAAAGTCCAGACTGGAAGGGGGGGGGAAAGTCCCAGGACTGGAAGGGGGGGGGAAAGTCCAGACTGGAAGGGGGGGGGGGGGAAAAGTCCAGACTGGAAGGGGGGGAAAGTCCCGGACTGGAAGGGGGGGAAAGTCCGGACTGGAAGGGGGGGAAAAGTCCGGACTGGAAGGGGGGGAAAGTGCCTGGACTGGAAGGGGGGGGGAAAGTGTCCGGACTGGAAGAGGGGGGAAAGTGTCCGGACTGGAAGGGGGAGAAAGTGTCCGGACTGGAAGGGGGGGGAAAGTGTCCGGACTGGAAGGGGGGGGGGAAAGTGTCCGGACTGGAAGGGGGGGAAAGTGTCCGGACTGGAAGGGGGGGAAAGTGTCCGGACTGGAAGGGGGGGAAAGTGTCCGGACTGGAAGGGGGGGAAAGTGTCCGGACTGGAAGGGGGGGGGGGGGAAAGTGTCCGGACTGGAAGGGGGTGAAAGTGTCCGGACTGGAAGGGGGGGAAAGTGGGAAGGGGGGAAAGTGTCCGGACTGGAAGGGGGGGGGGGGAAAGTATCCGGACTGGAAGGGGGGGAAAGTGTGTCCGGACTGGAAGGGGGGGGAAGTGTCCAGACTGGAAGTGGTTAAACTGAATGGGTTGTTTAGAAGCTGAGGGTTCACATATACTTTAACTGCCTTTTGAATAATCCGAATCTCATTACTAACCCAAATACCCGATTTAGGAGACCCAATAACAGTGCATAAGCATACAATATACAATAACGGTAAACCAATATTTATTCCATCCAGGTTTTCAGTCGCCTGTGTTTGTATCTCTCAGGCACTGTTCACATTGTCATGTATTGGGAATGAGTGTTCCCGCTACACGATTTTCACGCGATTCGTCGCGTACTGTCAGCCCTACGTGCATTTTTCTTCCAAAAAGACGCTCCTGCTCCTCTTTGGGCGACAAGTTAAAAGCAAGGTCTCCCGTAATCGCCACACACGATCCTGTCGCGCGCCATCACGTTTTGGGCCCCATTGAAACATGTTGGCACCCACGCCGTGAGTTGTGCTACAATTACCACCCGATTTGAAATAGAGGGCAAAACTGCAGCGTTTCTGCCCGTGATTCCAAATAGTGAGGTGTAATTGGAGCCTTGCGGGTTTGTAGTATGGAGATATTATGAATACATGCATCTGATTTTTTGTATTGGTGTTTAGTGATCATGTTTTATCACAGCTCTATGTTCTGTCTTGCTGTCTTCTATAAATAAAGAAAATTTATTCCAACAATAATCTATTGGGAAAAAAAAAAAATAAAAAATTCAGAAGTTTGAAGAAATTTTGATATTTTTTCTTTTACTGAAACAAAAAAAAATTAAAAAATTATATATATATATATATATATATATATATATATATATATATATATATATAAAAACTGTTGTGTTAACATTGCGCAGCAAAGAATTACAACTGCCATCACTTAATTCTATAGGCCCTGGGCTTTCGATGCAAATATGTAATGTTTTGGGAGGTTTAAATAATGTTCAGGTCAAACATGGGCATTTTAACACACAGTATCTCCCAGAAGTGAGTCCCCCCCCCCCTCACATTTTTGCAAATATTTGATTTTATCTTTTCATGTGACAACACTGAAGAAATGACACTTTGCTACAATGTGACGTAGTCAGTGTACAGTTTGTATAACATGTAAATTTGCTGTCCCCTCAAAATAACTCAACACACCGCCATTAATGTCTAAACCGCTGGCAACAAAAGTGAGTCCACCCCTAAGTGACAAGGTCCAAATTGGGCACAGTGAGCCATTTTCCCTCCCTGGGGTCATGCGACTCTCCCCGGGGTCTCAGGTGTGAATGGGGAGCGGGTGGGTTAAATTTGGTGTTATCGCTCTCACTCTCTCATACTGGTCACTGGAAGTTCAACATGGCACCTCATGGCAAAGAACTCTCTGAGGATCTGAGAAAAAGAATTGTTGCTCTACATAAAGATGGTCGAGGCTATGAGAAGATTGCCAAGACCCTGAAACTGAGCTGCAGCACAGTGGCCAAGACCATACAGCGGTCTAACAGGACAGGTTCCACACAGAACAGGCCTCGGCATGGTCAGCTAAAGAAGTTGAGTGCACGTGCTCAGCGTCATATTCAGAGGTTGTCTTTGGGAAATAGACGTATGAGTGCTGCCAGCATTGCTGCAGAAGGTGATGGGGTGGGGGGGTCAGCCTGTTAGTGCTCAGACCATACGCCACACAGTGCATCAAATTGGTCTGCATGGCTGTCGTCCCAGAAGGAAGCCCCTTCTAAAGATGATGCACAAGAAATCCCGCAAACAGTTTGCTGAAGACAAGCAGACTAAGGACATGGATTACTGGAACCACGTCCTGTGGTCTGATGACACCAACATCAACTGTTTTGGTTCAGATGGTGTCAAGTGTGTGTGGCGGCAACCAGGTGAGGAGTACAAAGACAAGTGTGTCTTGCCTACAGTCAAGCATGGTGGTGGGAGTGTCATGGTCTGGGGCTGCATGAGTGCTGTCGGCACTGGGGGGCTACAGTTCATTGAGGGAAACATGAATGCCAACATGTACTGTGACATACTGAAGCAGAGCATGATCCCCCCCTTCAGAGGCTGAGCTGCAGGGCAGTATTCCAACATAAGGACCCCAAACACACCTCCAAGACCACCACTGACTTGCTAAAGAAGCTGAGGGTAAAGGTGATGGACTGGCCAAGCATGTCTCCAGACCTAAACCCTATTGAGCATCTGTGGGGCATCCTCAAATGGAAGGTGGAGGAGCACAAGGTCCCTAACATCCACCAGCTCCGATGTCATCATGGAGGAGTGGAAGAGGACTCCAGTGGTGACCTGTGAAGCTCTGGTGACCTCCATGCCCAAGAGGGTTAAGGCAGTGCTGGAAAATAATGGCGGCCACACAAAATATTGACACTTTGGACCTTGTCACTTAGGAGTGGACTCACTTTTGGTGCCAGCGGTTTAGACATTAATGGCGGTGTGTTAAGTTATTTTGAGGGGACAGCAAATTTACATGTTATACAATCTGTACACCGACTACGTCACATTGTAGCAAAGTGTCATTTCTTCAGTGTTGTCACATGAAAAGAGAGAATCAAATATTTACAAAAATGTGAGGTGGGACTCACTTCTGTGAGATACTTTCTGCATGAAAATTATGGGAAAAGGCCCTGGCAACAAAAGGTAAATACCACATAAAATAAGATTGAAAGCTCTTCATAATTATAAAAAACTAAAATTAAAAAAAGTAGGATAAAGTTTTAGGTCTGCTCATGTCTGCTTCAAAATTTCAGGTGCACTTCATAAAGTGTACCTGTCACTCATACATAACAAAACCTGACAAACAAGTGTTTAAACAGAGGACAGCCCATCACCCGACAGGGATTGGTCCCATCACTATTATGTAAGGCTTCGGGTTTTAACGAACCGTTTTGGCTGACTGTTAGTTAAGGCTACAAATGGCTGTGAGATCAGAGTGTTCAGAGGACAGATGCACTTCAGGAATGTCCATTGTTTAGCTGTGGTCACAGCAAGGCTCATAGCTAGGAGAATCTCCAGGAAGGCTATGTTATGGCAAACTGTCAGCAGATGAAGAAGATTTCCTCCAACATGCGCCTCTCCTCTGATTCCACGCTGGATGGTTCACGCCTCACTTGCTCTACAGGCTTGCAGGTGGGCTTGGAATATCCACGGGTTGGTGGGCTGAGAATACTGAGGTCATACAGGTCCGTGTAGTGTCTTTGCTGCCTCTGAGAAGCGATAGGGCTGATGGCATCCAACATGTCGATGAGGGAAGTCTCATACCTGAAAGAGAGAGGAGAGAACAAGTCAAAAGAAAAATAGTTGTCTAAGGGCCGGAGCTGAAGAGATCAATTCAACCTCAGATTGACAGGCCTCAGCGATCATGCAGAAGTCATTGACCGCTACCTTTGACTAGCAGTTGACCTCTTTTAGTGGGTTTTGTATCTCCTGAATGGAAATACATACCACTCCCACACACCACCCCCGATGTCAACAAAAGATAGTTGACCCGGAACCTAATGAATGAATTATAAACCCAGACAAGCAGCAACTGGATTTCAATTGTCTAAAAAAGTGAATCTGTACTTCCTCCATTAAGTGCAAACTGGTTAAATTGGAATGACTGAAACAACCAGGTATGGAGCAGCACACCTTCCTCTTCTACAATACAGAGCTGGGTGTCTGA